TCCTGATTGGACCCTCCTGCCATTGCAGCCCAGCAGCGAGCATCCTGCTGGTGGCGCTCGTGGCCCGTGCATCTCCCAAATGGAGTGACTTCGCAGTTGGAACCGCAAATGTGGGAGGAAAGAGATGGAAAGGAAATGATGCCTCCAGAAGCAGGTGCCAAGCTTCCCTTCCGTATGGGGAGACAGGACGGAGGGGGTGATTAAGGTCATGTTAATGTGTTCCTATCTTTAGAAATGGACAAGTTTGCCTGTTTCCAGGTCACACCACTTCAGCCTGCTTTTATGAATACTTCTATTCTGCTCCCTTCCCAATCTGCAACCAAAAAAATATCCCAAAGCCATGCTACTGCGTCTTTGGAATTGATCCTCGGAACACATGTCCCATTTCCCAGCATATCTTTTTAGAATTACCCGCGTCACAGACCACGTCCTTCTGTGTGGATGCCTTTCTTCCTTTGGCCCAAAACTCCTCAGTAGTTGTGCACTGGCTGTGGAAAAGCTACCCAAAAGCAGTTCACCTGGTTCCTTTACAGGTGTTGAAGACAGATTTATTTTCTAGACATTTTACAGGTTGATTTTATCTGGTTAACCTTAGGAGCTCTTTGTTTGAGGAACACGTCTTCAGAAACACCCAATTTTGCAATGAGCGTTCCCAGCAGAGACCAGTACGTGGAGTCTGAGGCTCCTCTTACCTCTTATACCAGCAGACCACACTGCATTATGCAAATGTCCTTTGGGAGGAACCTTCATTAAGCAGACGCGACCTGTGGAAAAAACCGAATTTGACACACTTGGAGTCTCCGGGTGGTTCCAGAAGTTTGGAGTCTCCCGAAGTCAGATCTGGTCATGGCACTGAGGCTTCTGATTGGATTCCTGATGATCTTCCCTTCATGTAAGAAAAGTAACAGCACAGATTATAACGCTTCAGTGGCTGCCTCTGCATTTTTCCATCTTCATGTTTTTGTGGCCTTTTTTCTATGACTGCAGGTGTTTCTTCCCAGATCACCCTCACAGAGTCTGGAGGTGGAGTGAAGAGGCCGGGAGAGACCGTTCAACTGACCTGTGCCGTGTCTGGGGTTTCTCTCTCAAACACTGAAATACACTGGGTCCGTCAGCCCCCAGGAAAGGGACTGGAGTGGGCAGGAGTTGTGTGGAGCAATGGTGCTCTGAACTATAACAGTGCTCTGAAGAACCGGCTCTCCATCTCGAGGGACACCTCCAAGGGCCAGGTGTTCCTGCAGGTCCGTGACCTGAAGCCTGAGGATTCCGGCCTGTATTACTGTGCAAGGGACACAGTGAGGAAGTGCTGCTCTGGAGACGTACAAAAACATTTCTGCCCTCAAATACCAGGCATGAGTCACTCAGCACTTTGTTTTTAGCAGCTGAATGTGCTGTTAGATAATGCACAAACACAATATGTAAAATTGTTGGGACCATTTTCAAATACATGTCTTCAGCAGGACCTTCTAACTCACTCTGTTTTAGATGATCCTCTTTTTCTGAAATTTAGAAGCCTCTTTTTCTTCTAAAGTTCTGCACATGTTCAGAAGACAGGCTTCAACAAACCCTCATGAACAACCAAGCCCATGATACCAATCTGGGCTCATGCATGGGCCCTGCTGCCATCGCATCCCAGCAGCGAGCAACCTGGTGGTGGCGCTCGTGCTCCTCTTCTTGCTCAAGTGGAATGACTTAGCAGTTTCAACCACAACTGGGAGCGGAATGAAAGTGGAATCTGACTGTGCCACCAGAAGCAGGTGGCCACTCTCCCCTTCCCAATGTGGGGAGCACATGCAGAGACTGATAAAGTTCACCCTTAATATATTCTTCTGTAGCGAATGGAGGAATCTGCCTATTTACACGTCACGACACATTAGCATTCTATAACCCATAGTTCTGCTCTGGTCCATCCCCACGGCAAGCCTGAAATGAAAATGAGAAATGCTGTGGTACCAATATGTTAATCATCAAGATCTGTCTGTCCATCTGTGTGAGGGTACACATATCGTCCTCCACTGTATATCTGTTAATTAATGCCTCTTGCCACTTTGAAATGGGTTTCATATCTCAAAAGTTTACCAAGTCTCTAACTGTGTGCACAAAACCACAAAACCGCAAAAACAAAACCATAATTTCTTCCATATGGGAAGATTTTGTATTTTGGGCAGATTTTGTATTTTGGGCAGGATGGCCATAGGATCAGGACTGTTTGTTTCTGCTGCCATATTTCCTCCCAGGAAGGCTCCTCTGCATATTGCAATCAAAGCTTTCTCTAACAGGGAGTCTTCCATTGTGCACTTTTCTCATGAATGCAGTAAGAAGCCTCTGGGCAACCAAAAATAAATCTAGTTTTGCCACAGCGTGATTGTAGCACTTCCCTTTGCTTTCCTCGACCTGCTGCCCCGTTGAGCCCCCCTATCTCCTCTCGAGGATCATCTTCCTTTACTGTACTGGTTTAAACCAACGTTGCCTGCTAAAGCATCAGGCCTTCCTACCAACATTGTCCCATGAAGAAAGATTGCTGGCATTGGCGTTCAGTCCTCCCTTTCCTTTCCTCTCAGGGCCCCTTGATGTCCCACCTCAAACGTGCAAAACACACAAAGATATTTGTGCATTTAAACAACATGCCTAGGAATGTATCTTGACTCCGTACTGTTTTCTGACTACAAGAAAAGGGGGGACAAGTATCTCGGGTTGCTTGCCTCTGTTCCTTTGGATGACTCAGTGGCTTGGGCTGTCACTCCTCTCAGCCTGTCTTCCTTGCCTGGGGTGTTGTGCCTAGGTTGCAAATAAGCTATGCCAGCTGGCCTGGATTCTTCAGCAGAGCAGAAAAGGACTTGGTTCTCAATGCAGCCCTCATGTTTTACCACCCATACCTGTATTTTCTAAGTGCTGCTGTTACCGAATCATATGTAACCAGCTGAGGGACGAAGGGCTTTTCCGTCCACTTCCCCCTCCGTGCATTTAAAGAACACACACCATTGTGGCCATGCTGCCCTTTTCACGGACCACTTGTGCCACACAAGACTGAGAAGGTGTCTCCACTCCTCTCTTGTATTATGCAAATGAGCTTCAGGAGCAGCATTCATGAAACCGAAATGACCTGTGTGGGAAACAGAATTCAACACACTTGGAGTTTCCAAGTTCTTCCAGGGAGTTTGGGAGGCTGTTGAAATCAGATCGGGTCATGGCACCCAAGATCCTGACAAGTTTTCTGATGATCTTCCCTGCATGAAATAATAATAGCCTCCTTGATTATAAAAACCCTACATGTTTCTCTCGTATGAGGACAGTCGTCTGTTGCCTCTGTGTTTTCTCATCTTTCTTTCTTTGTGTCCGCTTTCCATGATTGCAGGGGTTTCTTCCCAGATTACCCTCGCAGAGTCTGGAGGTGCAGTGAGGAGGTCAGGAGAAACTGTTCAGCTGACGTGTGTAGTGTCTGGGGTTTCCATCTCACACTCTGACATTCATTGGGTCCGTCAGCGACCAGGAAAGGGCCTGGCGTGGGCTGCATATGTTTGGATCAATGGTGCTCTGTTCTACACTGGTGGTCTGGCAAACAGGCTCACCGAGGGAACCCTCCAAAAACCAGGTGTTCCTGCAAGTGCGTGACCTGAAGCCTGAGGGCTCCGCCGTGTATTACTGTGCAAGAGTCGCACAGGGAGGAACTGCTCCTACGAAGACCTACAAAAGCATTTCTTGCTGCAAACACCAGGCATGAGTCACTTACGGCTCTGTCGTCAGCAGCTGAACAAGCTGTTGGATAACTCGCATGCATGACATGCAGAAGCCTTTGGAGCATCTTCAATAAGCTGCGCTCAGTTCAATACATTGGCAGATAGAAGGATGATGGATGAAATAAAGATGAAATTACTGAACTATTCATAATTGCTGTTTTTGTTGTTATTAAATGATTATTTTTCTGACTAATATTAGCTAGGCCCTAGAGCAAAAACATTGCAATGTCTTCCATCCAGGCTGGGATTTCCTCTCTGTCTCCCCACCCCCCTAATGAAGTGCATCTTCAGAATCAGCCAAATGCAGTATGCAATTGACCTCTGGGAAAATCCTTCACTAAGCACAAGTGATCTGGGGAGGAAACTGAATTCAATGTC